GGTCAAGACAGTGCACTGAATTCAATCGGGATGCAGGATGCAGTGACTTGTTTGCCGTACAATTTAGACGGGCGTCTCTGATCACCAACAGTGCAGAAAGATGGTTCTACAGCGTTGTACACCATTCCTTCTTCCGTTGCTGCATTTCATTGTGGCAGTGAATAGGCTGCTCAGCTTCTAGCTACCTTCTCATGCACCAGTATGTGTGTGGCTTGCAACCCGGACACGTGCATCAGCCCATTTGAACACTACGCCGACAATCTTGACGTGTACGCGCCGGTGGCATGTGTGTGCTGTGGTGCCACTGACACGGCTCACCCAAGCTGTTTTGGCGATGACCTCACAAGGGCAGCACAATAGACCCCCCCGACAATGGCGCAGCGCTGCCCGCAGAACATGAGCGGCCTGCCTGCGAAGCCCAATGTGTGTAATGGACTCGGGACCTCATTTCCTGGGGCCCGCCACCGCGGCATGAGGACAGAGCTGAAATGAGGCGGCTGGGGCCCAGCCTTCCAGCTGCTGCCTGCCCTTGGTGGCTCCAGCCCTGATTTCGCGTCCCTATGCGCCTACCAGCAGAGGGCGGCAGACAGGCCCGTCATCACATTTATCACGATCTATCACGATCGAGACCAGCTTGAGCCGCCTTGCCTGCGCCAGCCAACGGTACTATGATGCAATCACGCTGGATTTTTCACTGGCTTCATGCCCCTTTGCTCATCACCTCCCCACCCATACAAAAATCTTCCCCCAAAACGTCACTGGTTGCTTGCACAGCTGGATCACGCTGTTCAGCGCTGGGCGTCAGGCAAGGGGCGCTGGTGCAGCTGCTTCAGCAGCAGCTGGTTCAAACACGCTGCGCCTGCTGGGCTGCAGGACGACACGGTGCTGTATTCTCGACCAGGGTCCACCCTTACAACGAGAATTTGCGTTGTCTTGTTCTTTGACACTAGCTTTCGCTCTGGATGTCAGCGCGGTGAGCGCAACAAGATCGCCTCGCTCTGTTTGAGCCTCCCTACACACACCTGAATCACCTACAATAATCCTTACAACATTTATTACAGCCAAGGAGGTCAGGCAGGGCCGTCCTGAGAAGTAAAGCATCACTTTAGACCGGCTACAGGGCCCCCGCACTCTATGGGGCTCAAAAGGCACACCTGCGATGATTCCGATACGGATATGTCGTCACCCGCCAAGCGCAGGCTCTGTTCCTTGAGGTGCGGGCGTACGACTGGGGGGGGGGGGCAAGCGGCAGCAACAGCAGCAGCAAGCATCAGCAGCCAGCGCTACGCATGCTGCGCTCTCTGGCTACGCAAAGCGGCTGATCCCTACCTCCTCGCACATAGAAAGCTAGCACAATTTATTGTTGTGTGTCATGGAATGAGGTCGTCCAGAGACTGCTGAGCGTGCATCACTCATGCTGTGTCGACGCCGATCTCGTCCGCTGCCCCCCCCCCCCCAAATAGGCCCTCTGACCAAGAGGCCCAGCGGCGACCCTGTGATGTCTGCTTGGAACCGGCGGGCGACAGCGGCGCGATCCGGCTAGGTGCGCCGTCCGCGTGCGCGCGGCGCGCGCGTGCGGCGCGCGCGCGCGCGTGCTGATGCAGTGCCTGTCACAGTGGTGTGCCTGCTGCTGAACTCGAGTTTGTGCCTACACCGCGTAGTCGGTTGCTTGGCTTGTCCTAACAGACCCCCAACCGCCGCGCCCGCCCCGCCGCGCCCCCGCAGGCGCCTGCAGCCACCGCATGTGCGGCAGCTGCGCCGCCGCCTGGGCCGGCGGCGCCGCCGCGCGCCGCGCGGCGCTCCGCTGCCCGCTCCCCTCCTGCGGCCGCCCGGTCCCGCCGCAGCAGGCGGCGCAGCTGCTGGAGGCCACGGGCGCCATGTTGGAAAGCTCCCCTCTGGACCCCTTTGGATATTCGTATCCGTTTTCGTACCCGTTTGAAGCCAGCGCTCTGATCCCGGAGGAGGTGCGTTTCACCTGCCCATACCCAGACTGCGGCCTAATGTCGGAGCTCGAGGCCGCGCTGCCGGACGCGCCGTCGTCCTGCCCCTCATGCAGCCGCGGCGTGTGCCCGAGCTGCAGGTGCATGTGGCACTCCGGCCTGGTGAGAGCGACCTGGGGTTGTGAACACGGTGCGCGGCGCGACGCGATGGCGGCCGCTTGGCCTGCTGGTGTCGTCGGCTGCAGCTGCGCTGTGCGTGCTGCGCCTGCTGGGCGCAGGCGCGCACTGGCAGGGGTCCTAGGGAACCTGAAATAGCAGCCTCTGGATCGCAGCGGTTGGGCAAGCTAGCCCTGCGCACCCCATCACACGTTTTGCGCCTCCATGCACGTGAAACACAGCCATGCAAAGCTGTTGATCTGACGTCCGAACCAGAGCCCCTACGTGGCCCTGAGAATCGGGCGTTTGCAGGTTGTTTCTTTTCGAATCTGACCCATGCCATTTTCACGCCCCGTGGCGCCCCCCTCTCAAACCCTCTCCTTTTGCCCGCAGCGCTGCTCCCAATACCAAGCCCTTGGCGCGGCCGGCCCCGGCGGCGCAGCCGCGGACAAGCGCTGCCGGGTCTTCTGGCGGAAGGGCGAGCGGCGGCCGCTGCAGCTGCAGCCATGGGCAGGCGCTTCGCGGCAGCCGCACGGGCAGCAGCAGCAGCACACGCAGCAGCAGCTGATGCCGCCGGCGTCTCCTATGTCCCCCTGAGCTGCCTCCCTTGCACTTTGTACCATGCCAGCCGGAGCCTGTGCTTGCCATTCGTTTTTTTGTGACCCCTGGTTGCGTGCAGCCCCCTTGCTGTGCTGCCGGACCCCCCTCTGCCTCACTGTTGGCGCTTTCGACCTCTTGCCCACTTTCAGCGTTAGACATGTGCCATTTGAGGCGCGGCCATTTTGTAGTACCCCATCCATTGTCTGCTCAATCCACAGACTGTCGTGCGCAAACGCATTCCTTGTCAATAAAATAGCACCCACTGTAACACTCTCAGTGCCATCATCCACGCGCACGGGTGTAGTCTGGCCGGGAGCGCCTAGGCCAACACTCCATCCCACTGCCACAACCAGCGAGAGTCTGCCGACCTTGCACGCACGCCCCGGTGCGCTGCTCTGCGCCAGGTCAGCACAGCGCCACGCCCCCACCAGCCTGGCCCCTTTGCCGCCAATAAAACACAAGGCTGCATATCAAGTTCCAAAGGGACATTATGACAGCATGATGGGTGGAATCACAAAGCCAAAACAATTGTTTTGAGCAGCAATATTGAAAGCGCATCATACCATGACGAGCTCAGATCAGTCAACCGCCGCGTTGACCTCGGTCAACAGCGGCACCGCCAGGTCAACCCTTGAGAACGCGCGGTCCACGTGGGTCGCCCCTGAGTAGCGGTGAACGGCCAGGGGCACCTGGACGCGGGGTGGGTTGGCAAGCGGGCCAGCTTTTGTGTAATATAAGGGCGCGGGCGGGCATCTGCTCAATCTCTCATTCCTCGCCTCCCAGCAAGCCGGAAGGATTGATGACCCCCAGCCCCCAGCTTCCCGGACGCGTGCCCCCGGCCCGAGCACTGGACGGCTCGCCAAGTGGCCATATGATCTGAACACTGGCTGTTTGGTTTGGGCAGTGGCTGTCCAAGCGGTGGCTGGGAAGCGACCGACCGAAGACCTTTCTGGCGGCGCCGCAGCCGCCCACCTGGTCTCCGACCGCAAACTGCTCCACGCAAGCCACGAGATCCTCCACGGTGTTGACCGCCTGGCCCCCCACCTGCCGGTTTGACAGCAGTTTCGGCGGCAAAGGGACGGTCGGCGGGCAACGGCGGCCGTCGCAATCAGTCGGGGCAGGTCCCTCGCGCGTACTGGAGGCGCATGCATGACGCGTGCCGGATTGCGCACGTACAGGCGGGCAGCTGCCGAAAGGGAGCGCGCGAGCGCCGCCGGGCCCGGGGCCAAAATCAACCCAGTCCCCCCACGACCACGCCTGCCCGTGCGTCTGCAGAGACACCAGGAGGGCCCAAACAGACAGGCACGAGCAATCTTTAGCGCAGCCAACCGCGGCCAACCCCAGCGCCCCGCCGCCCCACCTGGACGATGACGTCACCCACCTGGACGATGACGTCACCCAGGAAGATGTTGCCCCAGTCGTCCTGCCGCACGCCCCGCAGCCCCGCCTGCGCCGCGCCGCTGCCCGGCACGACGCGGTGCACCACTATGCCGGGCTGCGCACCCAGCAGCGCTGCAAGTTGGCCGATCCGGGGGGGGGGGGGGGGAAGAA